TGAGGATTTCCAGTCAGGATTTAGACCGTATCATAGTACTGAGACTGCTCTCATCAGAGTTACAAATGACCTGCTCTTATCATCTGATCGTGGTTTTATCTCTCTATTAGTGCGACTGGATCTTAGCGCTGCACTTGACACTATCGACCACAGCATTCTTTTGAATAGACTAGAAAATTATGTTGACATTAGAGGAAGTGCATTGGCATGATTCAAATCATACTTATCTGACCGCCATCACAGTAAACGAGGAGGTATCATACCAATCACAACTGCAGTATGTAGTACCTCAAGGCTTAGTACTAGGACCGTTACTTTTCATGCTCTACATGTTACCCTTGGGAGATATCATCAGGAAACATGGTGTTAACTTTCACTGTGATTTATACTTGATACTGTGATACTGATGATTCTTAATTCTATTTCTTCATGGCCCGACGAAACATTCTAATTTGCAAAACTAACTGAATGCATAGCTGATATAAAAAACTGGATGACTAGTAATTTCTTACTGTTAAATTCAGAAAAAAACAGAGGTGTTAATTATAGGACCAAAAACCTCTGCATGTAGTAACCTAGAACACTGTCTAACACTTGATGGCTGCTCTGTCAATTCTTCATCATCAGTTAGGAACCTAGGTGTGCTATTTGATAGCAATCTTTCCTTCGAAAGCCACGTTTCAAAACCACATTTTTCCATCTCAAAAATATATCTAAATTATGACCTATGCTCTCAATGGCAAATGCAGAAATGTTAATTCATGCGTTCATGACCTCAATGTTAGATTATTGTAATGCTTTACTGGGTGGCTGTTCTGCACGCTTAATAAACAAACTCCAAGCTGGTTCAAAATGCAGCAGCTAGAGTTCTTACTAGAACCAAGATGTATGACCATATTAGCCCGGTTCTGTCAACACTGCATTGGCTCCCTGTTAAACATTGTATACATTTTAAAATTGTATAAAAATCACTTTTGAATGGTGAACAGTTACTTTTACCATTTTATAATTTTTTGTTACCATCATTTTGTCTGTTTTTTGTCTCATGTAACAAAATAATGTTTAAAAGTACAAATAGGAAAGGAAAAAAAAAAAGGAGGAAAGGACATGCGGCCAAGTATGGTGTCCCATACTCAGAATTTGTGAACTTAACCCATCAGTGGGTTAAAGTGGCCATTTTTGCTGCGGCACCCAGGGAGCAGTTGGGGGTTCTCACCTCAGTCATGGTATTGAAGGTGGAAGAGAGCGCTGGTCATTCACTCCACCCACCTATAATCCCTGCCGGTACCGAGACTCAAACCCATGCCCTTTGGGTTACAAGTCTGACTCTCTAACCATTAGGCCATGACTGCCCCCAAATAGTCCAGTTAATCTTTAAAATGTGCTTGCAAATGCTGCATAGCCTAAATACTATTTGTTATAGTTAGATACCATACCACAAGATGTGTCAACTAAAATGCCGTTGCACAAAAATGTAAAAACAAAAATGATTTAAAACCTGATTATACTCACATCACAAATTAACATAACAGCCTTCAGTACATTCTAACAAAAAATAATCCATATAGCTGGTTTTATGAAATAAAAGTAAAAGTTTAATACATTCACAGACTTTTCAAATACAATTAATTGATGAGGTGAGGCATATGGGAACACATGCATTTACAAAAGTTGAATCAGTAAGTCAACTTGCAGTCTTACAAAGTACAAGCTGAGACAATCTGATCACGTCTGCTTATTTGTACTATGAGCTGAACGTTCAAGCGCTGTAGTAAATGAACTTTTATGTAAGGCTAATTGTATGAGATCAGTTTTACAATAATCCTGACAAAAAGATGAAGTTTCAAAGATGTAAATGTACAGTGGCCCCAAAATGCATTTGGACACGTTTTTTTTTACACTATACTGACAAACAAATGACGAAAGAGTGTTTCCTCAGAATTAATTTAATTTCTTAGTCATTTATGTCATTACTTTTAATCAGTTGGTCCCTGGGCCCATTAGTGGAAGTATGAAGTTCTTCAATGCTTCTCAAGTTCACAAGTTCACTCAGATGTCCTAAAACAGCTGAAAATAATCACATAAACTATGAACATGTTCCACTAATGTTATCCTAACAAACTGGAAAAGTGTGCTTAGTTATTATCTTTCTTTTAAATACATACTAATATATATTTTTATATTTTATATAAAATTTTAAATGTGACTTTTTAGACTTTTTGGGGCCACTGTATTTGCCTGAGTTCATATTAAAGTATTAGAAACTGTGTGAAAATATAAAAGTCAACAATATATTTGTTAGTTCTTTAGGATACAATAGCTTAAAATACTTCATATATCATTGCATAAAGGGCTGTTACTGATCACAATAATAAGCAACTTGTTGCAAGAAAGTTGAAGGATCTCTCTTTGGATGTCGACTAATATGACCGTAAAAAAAAAAAAAAAAAAAAATTAAAAGAG